AGACAGGAGGTTATTGTTTATAAAAAATATAATGAAATTCACCTAAAAATTCTATATTATAAAAAAAATGTGTTGTAAGTTATAATTCAATATGCAATGGGTTAAAAGACAACCAAAACAAGAAAATTAAAGAAACCAATTGAAATCCATATATAGACAACTAACTACAATCATTAATTAGGTACATAAATAATATATATATATATGTAAACCCTTTTAGTTGATCCATCACTATTAGCTAGCTGACCATATGACAATTGGGATTCCAATAGAAAAACATTAACATAACAGCCAACAGCTAGGAAAAAGGAAATTCAATTTTAAAAAATCCCAGAAAAGAAAAGACAGACAAAGAAATAAAAACAAAACAGTAATTTTTTTGAAAAATCCTAATAATTAAAACTCCATATTATTTTTCAGTTAGTTATTTAATTAATTAATTTTCATATTAGTTATCATATATATATCCAACATATTGTAACTATATACTGTATATAGTGAAACATTGAAATTTCGATATATTTCTTCATTAAGCAAATGATCCTTTAAAGCAATCTATAAGCTTTCGAAAATCAAACCCCATTTTCATATATAGTTGGCCATACCCGAAAGGAAAGAAGGAAAAAAAAGAAATGAAGCCTCTTCTCTCTCCTTCCTCCTCTTCTGTCTTAGGAGGCACGTCTCTCTCTTGCTTCTACACCTTGTTAGCTTTCATTCTCTTCGTTGTCATTCTTTACTCTGAGGACTTCCTCTGCATCTTTGGCCAAGGCGAGCTCGTCCTAACCCAACCACCCATCTCTCAAACAGGTAAGTTAACACGTAAACTCAGTACTCAAATTGTGTTTTTCTTTGGAGAGTTATTGGTTGGTTCGAGGGTCGTCTGACTGATACAGTGGTTTTTGTTGGGGTTAGAGAAGAAACAAGAGACGACGTCGCTGCCATTCGCTATAGGGAGAACTGAAGAAGGGTGCGACGTGTTCAGTGGGAGGTGGGTGAGGGACGAGTTGGCTCGCCCGCACTATGAGGAATCGGAGTGTCCGTACATTCAACCCCAGTTGACGTGCCAAGAACATGGAAGACCTGACAAGGAGTATCAGAAATGGAGATGGCAACCCCATGGCTGTGACCTTCCCAGGTAATTAAAACCAAACCAAAATCAAACAACTAGAAGCCACATTCACATCTCTTTCTTTCTTTCCTTCTTCCTCTGTATCTTTTAATGCTGGGCTCTTAAAGAAACACTTTCTTTTCCGATTCTTGTTTGCCAACTGCCTTGTTCTGGTTGTTTCAGGTTTCAGCATAGGAAATAGTAATGCATGCCTTCAAGTTCTTAAAAACATAAGCCTTTTTTGGATTTTGACGTGAAGAATTATCGGAAAATTATTAAAAAAGGAAAATCCAAGCATTTAATGGTTTGAAAGTGTGAATAAAGATTATAAGACAAGTAAAATAGTTTTTAAATTTTACGTAATTTACATGCAATATCATTAAATTTGGAACATTAATTAATTAGCATTTCCTATAATTAATTTTTTTTTTTACTTTGGTTTGATGCCATTTCTTCATTTGTTGGAAATTGAATTAGGAACATATTGAATGTATATAATTTAAAAGCTACTACTAGTATTGTTGTAGTTTGGTGTTCATGAAAAATGAATTTGTAATATATAATAAAAAGTAAGAGTATTAGCTGTCTTAATAAAATAAAGATTTCAGTTTCAGATATTCTAAAAACAAAATATAGATAAAAAGGAAAAGACCAAAAGAGTAATATTTTACGTAATTACTAATAGAGTACAAAATACACTTACGAGTATTCAAAGTTAACCTATGAAATGTATTAAAGGAATACATTAATTCAAATATTGAATAATTGATCAAAAATTACTACATTATGAAAAAAATATTTCTCTTTAATGTTTATTTTTTGTTTATATTTATCGTTAAATTAAATATTAAGATGTATTTATCACGATCGACCGGCCGGTGCAGCGGCCCACAGCCTTTTGTTCTCATGGTTGACCTTGCCAATGTTGTCGTGGTCGCACGTCGGGGCCTGTCTAAGTATAAACTATTAGGAGTTGGGACCCATTACTTTCATCTTGTCCAAGTGTCTGGAGTATTTGGGCCCACTCTGATCTTAACCTGCACCTCCTTATGATTTTGCCACGTGGATCGATATTAGGTTAGTGATGATCGTTTCTACAACTAAATTGGTGGGAAAAAAAATGGATATTGGGATTATTGGGTGGATTGCTTAGAGCCAAACTAGTTGAAAATTTTGAAGTAATAATAAACAAAGTAATGCAACCACGAAGTTAGTTTTATACCTTAAAGTTGACTTTATTTTTTAAATTTTAATATAAATATATCAAAATCAAAGTTTTTATCTTAATTTCTCTATTAATTTCTGTAAAAATCGAAAAGAGATAAACATTTAAAAATGGAACGGAAATATATTATTTTTTTCTTTAATTGAATACCATTTGGTTTCAATTTGTGTGTAACATCTCGAGAAAAAGCATTGTTTTTCATTTCTATTAACTATGAAATGAAACTTATATTATTTACTTTGATTTAGTATGTATGATGATGTTTGTCAAATAATCTTTGTCACAGTTTTAATGCCACATTGATGCTGGAGGCCTTGAGAGGGAAGAGGATGATGTTTGTGGGTGACTCATTGAACCGGGGACAGTATGTTTCAATGGTGTGCCTCCTCCATAGAATTCTCCCTGAGAATGCAAAATCCATGGAAACCTCCCAGGATCAGTCACTAGTTGTCTTCAGAGCCAAGGTAAATTCATGCTGGAATTTGTTAAATTAATTTTAAAATTCTCATCAAGACTACTTCGGGATTGGTCTGATTTAGAATTCATTTTGTTTCTTAATTTCTTTTGTCTTTGTTTAATTAGGATTATAATGCCACCATTGAATTCAACTGGGCACCATTTCTTCTTGAATCGAATTCCGATAATGCTATTGTTCACAGGGTGGCTGAGAGGATGGTTAAGAAAGGTTCCATCAACAAGCATGGGAAGAATTGGAAAGGAGTTGATGTTTTGGTATTCAACACCTATCTGTGGTGGATGACCGGCCAGAAGATGAAATTCTTGTACTGTTTGCTTCTCCCTGGATTGATTCATCAGCCCCTTTTTATGCCACTTTTGTTGCTTTATTTACTCTTGTGGGCTGATGGGATGGCTTATGTTTTCCACAGGAGTGGATCGTTTGATGATGAAAAGAAGGATATTGAGGAGCTGACAACTGAGGAAGCTTATCGGGTGGCCATGAAAAGCATGCTGAAATGGGTGAGGAAGAATATGGATCGAAACAAGACAAGGGTGTTCTTCACTAGCATGTCACCATTGCATATAAAGTGAGTCAATATCTCTCTCTCTCAATTTAATCTAATATAATATATATTCACAAGACTGTGATCCTGGGGCTGCATGCAAACAAAAGAAAGAAGCTTAATGGAAAAAGACAAACATTATGCAGTATCGAGTCAAGTGCTTGAATGCTCAATTACTTTGATTAAAACCACTCTGACGATTTAAAATTTGTATATTTGGTAGGAGCACTGAATGGGGAGGTGAACCTGGTGGCAACTGTTACAATGAAACAACTCTAATTGAAGATCCTAATTACTGGGGATCAGAAAGCAAAAGCATTATGCAGGTGATTGGGGAAGAGTTCAGCAAATCCAAGTACCCCATTACGTTCCTCAACATCACTCAACTCTCAAACTATCGCAAGGATGCACACACCTCGATTTACAAGAAGCAATGGACTCCACTGACCCCCGAGCAGCTAGCAAACCCCGTCAGCTATGCTGATTGTGTGCACTGGTGTTTACCTGGCCTTCAAGATACCTGGAATGAGCTTCTATTCGCCAAGCTATTTTACCCTTGAGTACAATCTTGAATGATGAAAATGTGAAATCAAAATCCTCTTTGTAAATGGTTCGGGCATTGCCAACACGCAAGTGGCACATAACTCATTTTTCCATTACACGTTTGGGTTCTTGGCATGGTGACAGTAGGGGAAAGAGAGAGAAAAAGAAGTGGATTTTTTTTTTTGTAAAATAATAGTGATTGCTACAAAGAAAATGGTCACTTAAGTGACTGAATTGATTGTCACTTAAGTGATTAAATTGATTGTTTTGTAATGTTGAAACAAAGAAGCACTGGCATATGTTGAAAAGAATAATAATGCAATATCAACACGATGTATGAATTAAAATTACTCAAAAAAAAACTAAATTTGAACTTAAACTTTGAGATTATCATTTTTTAATATATAAAATTCAAAATAAAAAAACTATTTAATCTCTCGTATCAAAAAAAAAATTATATCTTACAAAAGTCGTACATTCGAGATTAATTTTAATACAAAATATTTTGTATCTCTCAAAATTTATGTATTTAAAATTATTGTCAATGTAAGAGATGACGTATTTTTTGAATTTTGTGCATTCAAAATTAATATCGAACAGGGACCGCTAAGATCTGAAGCCAAGACCAAACCACTAATGGGCCACTGACCAGTTATGTACGATCCAAAGCAGGGTCCGAGAAGGGTCATACAATCTGATCTGTGTTTCAAACATGCCGTCTGCTTGCTTATCTTTTAAGATTTTTGTCTCTGATGCTCATGGAAACATGCCAGCATTTATCTGGCTTCAATCTGAAATGCAAAAGGCATAACAGAAACAAACAAACAATCGGAAACATGGACCTCAGTTTTGCTAAAGAACTTGGTTTTACAGGCTTGAAATCGAAACCATCAGAATCAGTTATTTGAGCCATTGCTTACTAGCTCCTATGGTAAAATAAATTACAGCAGTTCAAAGGCATGATGGCATCATTCTGAAAGCTGTAGATTGAAGTTTTAGATGGGAAAACGAATTGAAATTTCCAAGGAATGGCATAATCTAGGACTACAAGTTAACCTTCTGCTGTAAATTATCACAAGTAAATGCTAATTGAGGAGATTACCTGAGATTATAATGCTTGGGGATCTCCACGAATGAGCCTTACAATTCTGTTGAATCTCTTAAATGCTATACAAATGGAAATGCCAGCATCATTGGAACTTTGGAGGAGACTGCACTTTTTACAAAAGTATATATAATTTGAAAGTGAAGTTTCCTACTTCCCTTGAGGATGGCTTTTTGCAATTTTAAGGGTACATGATTTAGCTTTTGTTGGAAACTCTGTAAGCAACTAGCCAATTATAAAGGAATGAAAATTTCCAAAACCTTTTGCTTTGAAAATGGCAACTGACCCTTTACAAGGATTGTATTACACTAATTAATGCTGAAATATTACTTCATGCTGACCTTATATATATATATATATATATATCAAAGTGAATGAATGACCATTACTCGTTTAGTTTTGTACTATATCAGATATACTCTTAAGAACATTTTCACTATTCACTATTACATTTGAACCAAGGTAATAGAAAAAAAAAACTAAAAATAGATCATGTAATAATGTTAAAAAAATTTGCAAAATCCAACTAAAATAATGGTGCCATTAGAGTGGGTTAAAAGACAATTACTAGAACTAGAAAACTAATACTAGTAGTAACTTAGGAAAAAAGTGATTAAAAAAATCCATTTATACAAACTTAATTATGAATATTAGGTGGGCAATAAAAAAATATGGAAATTTGTTTAGTTGATCCATCCCTATTGGGTTGCTGACCCTATCAGCTGGGTAACACTTAAACAACTGCTGCTTGTTGAGAATTAGAGTAAGAAAAGCATCGAAAAACCAACAAAATATATAGAAGGTGAAATGCCACCAAATCCTCACCTAAATCCCTTAAAAGAAAGCAACCCTATCTAGTATTAGTTCATCATCACCCCATATTTGTTTTCCCCCTCCAAGTCATTGTAATAATGGGTGTATAAAAGTAGGATAACGATATGCCATCTTTCGGGACACCCTTAGCTTGAAAGCCAAGGGAAATTATAATCTTCCTTTACAATCATTCACTACCCACTACTCTTATAATCACTCATTGATTTCTCAATTCAAAAATTTGTAGGTTTTGCAGGTAGAAAGTGACCCTCAGGATGAAAGGAACTACCCTTCTTTTTATGCAAAATTGGAAATGAAATATAAATATTTAGTATATTGCTGCTTACTTGTATTGAGCAAATGGTCAAAGGACAACTAACCATTGAATGTTAAAGCCTGTTAGAGAAAGATGGTGAACTAAATTGTCCTTAATTGTCATTTGAAAGTAAATGAAATGAACATAAATAGAATACCAATTTTCTATGTTTTCCCCCAATATCTAGGATGAAGAAAGAAATCATATTCAATTTTAAGTGAAAGTTAAGTGAAATTGTGGGTTTTAATTAGTATAATATTCAATACTCGATTTCAGTTACAGATGACTTGCAGTGCTTGAGAGCAATCTAAATAAATATCACCAAATTCGAAGCAATATTTTAAGTAAAACAATTGGATCTTTTCAAAATAAAGATTATATAAAAGAAATTTGTAAAATCATTTTATTTTTACATTTTAATAATTTACCAAAATATTTTTAAATGTGAACAAATTTTGATAATTTTATTAGACGAGATTAATGGTATAATTCATTTTGAGAATATGATTTTATCCACTAGTTGAGGAAAAAAACCAAAGGGTAGTATGTTAAAATTATAGGAAATATTATAAGTGAGATTTATCCTATTTATATATATAATGTGAATAAAAATTCTATTTATTAAATCTAATTATAACCCATATTCATTGAGGCAATGACAAGTTGTTTTATATGCCGTTGGAGTAATTGCTCTAAAATTTCAACAATGGACCACTTTTCCCCCCATGAACTCTGGTCCTACTCTACCCCATACCTACTTACCTCCCAAGTAACTATCAGTATTAGTTAAATAATCATTAATTTATTCAATTATGTTCATGTCTAATCTAAATTAAACAAAAATTCTAAAAAATTGGCTGAAAATTCAACCCTTAGAACGTGACAATTAAACAGTTAAGACATGACCTGGTGACCATATGCAAGCTTGTTAAAGACTTTGTCCATCATCTCACAAATCTGAAAGCTTTGCTCCAAAGGATTGCAACTCTTTGGCATAGTTTCCTATATTTATTCAATCCAATCTCAACATTTCTATATTTCCCAGATACCCATAGTTACTAGTTACCACAGAATAATCCAAGAGACAAAAGGAAAATTTGTTTTTTCCCTGTTTTTTGGGAAGAAAAATGAAGCCTCCCCTTCCTTCTTCTTCGTCTGCTGTTCTTAGAAAGGCTCGTCTCTCACCTTACCTCTTCACCCTGTTAGCTTTCATTGTTTTCGTTGCTCTCCTCTATGGGGAAGACTTCATGTGCATTTTCGGACAGCTTGAACCAATCCCAGGCCGACCAATCTCTAGACCAGGTGAGTTCACCTGATCAGTCAGGTCAAGCTCTTTTGTTGGTTTCTGACAATTAGCAGATTTTTTTCCGTTGGAAGACTACTGTTTTCGTTTGACTGAGTTGGGGTCTGGTTTTGGGGTTAGTGAAGAAAAGAGAGAAGTTGCCATTCGCTGCGGGGAAGACCGAGGAAGGGTGTGACGTGTTCAGTGGGAGGTGGGTTCCGGACGAATTGACTCGGCCTCACTATGAAGAATCGGAGTGCCCCTACATCCAACCTCAGTTGACGTGTCAAGAACATGGAAGACCTGACAGGGAGTATCAGAAATGGAGATGGCAACCCCATGGCTGCGATCTTCCTAGGTAAAAACAGATACCTTTTGATCATCATTCCTTTGTTCTCTTTCTCCCCTTTCATAATTCTAAATTTGATTCCTTTTCTTCATATTGTTTCAACTTTTCCTTTGAAGAACATGCCAAAAATCTTACGCAAATTTTGTCTTGTTCTCCTTTGTTCTTATTGTTTCATGGCATAGAACGTAACGCGTTTAGAATAATCATAATTTTAGCTGTATGTTAGCTTGAATTGGCAAATTAGAAACCTGTTACGTTTTTCCTTCGGGGGGCCATTATGTCTCCGGCCTGTGATTCCGGCTAGAGGCGGCTGCCCACGTTGCATCGTTGTACACGTGCCAAACCAAGGTGGATCCTTGGCCACAGGGATAAAAAATTGTCGGTGTTGGGCAAGTATCGAAATACAGAGGAGGTGGGACTCATTACCTGCTAATATTTCCATGTCTCAGTCGATGTGGGCCTTTACTCTCGACATTCTGCCACGTGGAGAGAATCAGGGGTCGGATTGGGAGCACGCTCAAAGCTACATTTTGGTCCCTTGAGTCAAATACTTGAACAATTTTTGCCTAAATTTATGATAATAGATTGAAGTAATGCTGTCCTGACTTTAACAGCTTCAATGCCACGTTGATGCTGGAGAGCCTAAGAGGGAAGAGAATGATGTTTGTGGGAGACTCATTGAATCGTGGTCAATACGTATCAATGATCTGCCTTCTCCATAGACTCCTCCCCGAAGATGGAAAATCCATGAAAACTTACAACAATGATGCCCTGACAGTGTTTCGAGCCAAGGTAAATTAAGATCAAATTTGTTTAAATTCCCATTGATTGCTTGTTTAATCGTGCTGCTAATCTTTTACAAGCTTTCTATTTTCTTGTCTAGGATTACAATGCCACCATTGAATTCTACTGGGCTCCATTCCTCCTGGAATCGAACTCGGACAATGCTGTTGTTCACAGGATATCTGATAGGATTGTCAGGAAAGGTTCGATCAACAAGCATGGCAAGCATTGGAAAGGCGTCGATATTCTGGTTTTCAACACCTATCTTTGGTGGATGACCGGCCTGGAGATGAAGATCTTGTATGTCTCATTCTCCCTAGATAGATTTCATCAATTCTTCTCTTGGTTAGGGAAAGGTCTGATTTCTTAATATTACGTTAATTTCGACAGGAAAGGGTCCTTTGAGGATGAGGAGAAAGAAATAATGGTGGTGTCAACCGAGGATGCCTATCGAATGGCAATGAGAACCTTGTTGAGATGGGTGAGGAAAAATATGGATCGCAAGAAGACAAGGGTCTTCTTCACTAGCATGTCACCTACTCATGCAAAGTGAGTAGAAATTAAACTCCCTCTGTTTTTTCTCTTATATATATCAGTTTAAAATCTGTTCTAATTTATTATTATATTATTCCCACTTTTCAATTTTTTAATGAACACAAGTATTCATATCTGATACATATATGAACGATATGAATATAGAAATTCGACCTTTCAAATATATTAAAAAAATATTACAAAATTGAACCAACCTGTGTCGGACATATGTCGTATCCCACAATCACCTTGATTTATTACTAGTAGTACTACTTTTTGATGTACTCATGTCCAACACAGTTGACGAATATGAGTGTAGACATCATACACGTATTTTTATCCATATCCAACACTTACCCTGTAGATTTATTGTTACTAGTACTGTTATTTTTTGGTTACATCAGTGATATAATTTCACAATTGGCAGGAGCATCGACTGGGGAGGTGAACCTGGTGAGAATTGTTACAATCAAACTACATTGATCGAAGATCCTAATTACTGGGGTTCAGATAGCAGAAAGAGCATAATGAAGGTGATCGGAGAAGTATTCAGCAAATCAAAGTTTCCCATTACATTTCTCAACATCACTCAACTCTCGAGTTACCGCAAAGACGCTCACACATCGATTTACAAGAAGCAATGGAATCCGTTGACGCCTGAGCAGCTAGCAAACCCTGTCAGCTATGCTGACTGCGTGCATTGGTGCTTGCCAGGCCTTCAAGATACTTGGAATGAGCTTCTCTTTGCCAAGCTATTCTATCCTTGAATATAATTCTTCAATGGTGAATATATATAAATATATCTGTCAAATCTTCTTTCTGATTGGTTTGGTCATGGCCAGCAACACGATCGAGTGGCGTCTAACCCTTTTTTCCATTACTAGTTTTGGGGGCTTGGGGTGGTCATTGGTGTCAACAGACTGGACAGTCAAAAGGGGGAAGAAGAAATGAAAACAGGAGCTTTGTAAAATAATAGAGCTTGTTGCAAAGGAAATTTCACAAAGTGATTGAATTGATTGATTTTTTTTTCTCTTAACTTGAATTATCAGAATGAAAATATTACTTTCTTAGCTAATTTTGACAATATTTGCACATATATTTTTGCTTTATCATACCATAATATTCTAGTTTGTATCATGTTTATATGCCTTTAGGGCTAAGGAGAAACTATGACCAAATTCAATTGGGCTGCCCTTTTTATAAGATAAATTCAATTGGGTTTTCAAATGGATAGGCAAAGTGCTTCAATCTTGGGTTAGGATTATGGACCCATGGAAAAAAATTGGTTGTTTGAGCTTTCATTCCTTTATGCTTGTATTGTACATCTCCCTTTTCATGCAGTAAAAGAGGAAGACGTTAAACTTGTGTAATTATATAATCTTTTTTTACTTTATTTAGCCATTCTTTTGCTAGGATTGCATCCTAAAATTGCTTAATTTGAAAGGGATAATTACATTTTAAATCCTGACATTTTAATCTTAAAATTAAAAAAAAAAGACTTAAATTTGAGCTCCATAAATTTGAACATTATATTGTTATAAATTGGAAAACATGAAAAGGAATCCTCTCCTCTTCCTTTGAATTTCCAAGAGCCTCTCCTCACCCTTCCGCAAGAAACCACCTTGATCAGAGCTCAGAATTTCGACTCTCTAGCACTATCCTAAACCAATCAATGTTTCAAAGCATGCTATGAACCTGATGATTTCCATGTGGATGATCCTTGAAAAATATTCTTTGAACAACCTCTTTAATCAATTCAAAAACATTTCTTGAAGCTTTAATTTCAATTCTCCTATATATGTGTGTAAGGTCTTACTCAATTTAAAGGATAGAAGCTTTTCTTTTTTCTTTATATCTCCCAAAAATAAAAAAGATGGAACCCTGTGCTTGCTTGCTTGATGCTAATTCAAGAATCGATTTGGTGTAAGCAGACAGGCCCTTTTTCTTTCTGAACAAACCAACTTGTCTAAAACCTGTTGCTGCACATGTCAACTTTCGCATATCTATACTGGAAGTCTGCATGTCCAACCTAGCTGTAGCTGCTGCTGTTGCTGCTCTCTCTCCCAGCAACAAATTGCCAAGCTTTCAGCCTTTAAATATCAATAACATCATCCTTGGAAAAGCTTTGCTAGCTTGGAAATACTTTCTCTCTCTCTTTATATCTTTATCTAGTTGCAGACAAGAACCACGTGTCGGGGGTGCCACCACCTGGTTTTCTGAGCAAATTCCAGCTGTTTCAACTGTGAAAAAATCAGCACGACATTTAAGCAAGTGGGCAAAACGACTCTTGTGAAAAAGCTGAAGATTCACTTGGATGGATCAGCTATAATTCATTAATAGTTTTCTCTATATATATTTTTTTCCAATTTTACAAATAACGTAAGTGTCAACTGACGTGTAATAATTTACTTACCATGTAACGACAGGTTGTTTCGCAAAAGTCTGGTTTATAGTGTAAATAAAGCTTAAAAGGGCTCAAATTCTCAGTTTATGCTTAATTCCAAAATCTAATTGAAATTCACAATGATATACAACAGTTTTCTTTAGATGAGAGTAAAGCTATCTAGCAAGAACGTGACTGCTACAGATTTGGTGAGGGGGAAAAACCTGAAAGCTGCGCAGGGTGTGAAGGAAATATAGAGAATCTAGAAATCATGAGCCAATTTGTTTAAGCAACTTCCAGTTTCTGTTGCCTGCGTACTGAAAACTTTCCTAAAGAACAAACAAGCCAAAAACTACAATGAGCAAAGAGATAAGATGCCCTGATTGTCAGTATACACAACAGTAACCTGTATCAAACAAACAGAAAACCAAAAATTCCTTCCAGAAATCCTAGAGCCTGACCCCTGGAATCTATATTTAGGCTTATGATAAACATGGGCATTGATTCATCAATTCAATGGAAAGGATTTTACAAATGGAAAGCGTGACCAGTCAAATCAGCTGCCAAGCACAGAAACAAGAACGGGTGGCTTTCGTTTCATTTTCTTTCTCTTTTGTTTATGTGAACAAGGTGGAACATTAATGGCCTCCGTGCCCACTTGCATACCCAAGTTGCAAAATCTCCCCGTCCCCTTGCACAACACAGCATAAAATAATAATTATAATAATAATAAGAGAAAATTACAGGGGAAAAAGAATATAATTAGAAAATTAAAAAAAATTAACATCAACTTGCATTGTTTTCCTACATCAAGTTGGAGTTATCAAAAGTCAAGTGGCTATTTGCAAAAGCAACCTGATTGATTCCTTCCTCTCGTGTGCTAGTGTGTGTATATATATATATATATATATATATATCTTATACGGAAAATTCTAAAATTTGAATTTTTTTACATATATTAATATATTAATACATGTTGAGCCTCTCACATGTTACGCACCGATTTTCCGATTCCAATTAATTATTAATTATTAGTATATTTTTATTTTTAAATCGTTATTACGATATTCTCTCAAAGTTTAAGTTTAGGGAAATGTAATGGAATGATGTAAGTATGTAGCATAGTACGACACATAATTATTGGATAAATCTAGCTCCAAACAACTGTTTTGCCATGGAGAAAAGCACATTATTAAGAAAACTTATCACATTGGAAACCATGTTCAATGCATGGTTTTTGCATATATATATAAAATAAAACGCCCTTAATGATCATTAGTGCATTACAAAATTGGAATCTCCTAACACTTTACAGCAAAGATTTGCAACATTTTCTTTTTGAACTTTACAATGAAAAATTATTTCATTAATCCGGCGAATATTTGGCAACATGTAATAAATAAATATAGGTTGTGCACTTTATTATAAAAAATATTGATTTGATTAATATAATGGACGAAATTTGACGGTATTTCGAATAAATAATGATTTCCCATATAGAAAAGAATGATAAACAAATAATCAAATTGATCGTCTGCTGATTATAAACATTGATCAAGTTTGAAGAATTTGTTCCATGGAAGATATATATAGCTTGGGTTAACTGAAATTACCTAGTGCTTTTATGATATATTCAAAAAATTACATATTAAGGGGTAAAAGAAGAAGGAAATCTAAAGGGCAGTGGAAATCCACAGGGATTACTGCAAACTTTGTGACTGATTCGTACGTAAGGAAAGAAAGAAGAAAGAACACCCCTTCTACATTGAGACAAAGCAGTTCATTCATATAATTACATAGACAATGAACAGAAAAATTGACTGTGATCAAAGCAAAATCTTCACAAAAGGAAAAGGGTGAAGAAGAAGCAAAAACAAGTTTTATAACATTAGATCATCGTCATGGTACTAGTTCTGTATGATCACCTTCAACTTCAAGGCTTCTATTTGATCTATGGGAATTCCCGGTATGAGTCCCGTTAGCCGATCTTCCATCATTGAGACAATAGAACCCATCTCGGAAACAAAAAAAGAGAAAAGAATTAAGAGATTTAGAACTTTTTTTTTTTTTTGGATTATGGGGATGACGGTTTTGCTCTTCTAGCCATGTTTTCCGCCATCTGAGCCAAAGATTGAAGGTTGCAACGTACAATGATGTCGACGAAAATACAAGTATCGTCTCTAGTGTTACCGGGCGGTATGTCGACGACGAACGATTCGACGACAACTGTCCCTTTACCATTCGGAGAAGCGTGGAGAGTCGTGACGGACTTGTAATTGGTCAACCGATGATCGCCTCCAACCACGCTGAAGCTAAGCACGTGACGTTCGTCGTCGAGGATCTCGAGCCTCTCCGTGCTGGAAGCGGCGGGGAGGCCGGACACGACGTGGACCTCGCGGAGGGTCCCGACGTTGCCGTCACCGACGATGACATGGCAGCTCTTGAGGAAGTGCTTGTAAGCTTGAGGGTTATCGAAGCGACGAACCACTGACCAAACCGTCTCGACAGGGGCTTCGATGGCTTGCACCACGGCTGAGCAACACTGGTTAGGCCCCACCGTGTGGATGTGGTACGTCGCCACCGTGTCAGGCACCGAGACACCGCAAGGAAGAGGGAGAAGCCTCGTGAGGGTGCAAGCGGTGGTGGGTTGAGCTTGTTTTTGGTGGCAACCGATGGTGGTGGTGGCGGAGACGGCTCGGTGGAGCTGCAGCGAGGAAGGCATTGTGGTTGTTTTGCTGGTTTTGGGTCAATGTGGGTTTGTGTTGGAGGTCATGTTAAGCTTAAAACCGCGTGGGAGGGGTTGAAATAAATACGTGAAAGATCAAAAGGGGAGGGTTTCAAAACAAAAAAAAAGGGAAAGAAAGAGGACCACTTGGAATAGTTTGAGGATTTCTTGGAGAAAGAGTTATAAGGGGGGCGAAAGACAGAGAAGAGAGGAGCGAAAACAGCTTTAGCTTACGCCGGACACTGCAAGTGGATCGCCAAGTTGCAGTTTCTTTGGACTTTGCTTTAGGTAGATTATCCTATTATTTTATTCAAACTACAAAACTGCCACTTTCTTAATTCATTTTCTTTTTTTTTAATTTTTTTAAAAAATTATATTATAAGATTTTTGTTTTCGCAAAGTAAGAAAGAGATTTATTTCATAAATAAAGTCTTCACATAAAAATACTACTTTAAAATATCAAATTTAGTAAGATCATTTGTTAACTCGTTAATAGTACGAGAAATGTGTTGAATTTATCATTTGCTTAATTACGATTATAGAATTTCAATATAAAAATAAATATAATAAATGATTTATATTTCCTCTAATTCTTTTTTATTGTTATTTTAGTCTAAGTAAGCCATAAATGATTTATGCTTCATCCACTTCTTTTTTTTTTCATTGTTTTGAGACATTTCAAAATAATTTTTTTTCTTTTTTATGCACTTAATATTCTTATTTTTTCTACATTATAAAATTATTTTTTATATTTTTTAAATTTTTCATATTTTAAATTATTGACCATTTATATTCTAAAAATTCAAAATTTAATATTAATTACATTAAAATCAAAACTTCTATATTAGTTTTCACAAAAATTAGAAAAAGAAAAATAAAAAGGAAATTAAGGAGTATTTCCAATAGAGAAAATTTTTTAATTTTTCTCTTCCTTTTTGGTGGGGGGTTTTTTTTTTCTAAGTCTATCAATTATTGATAATATTTAAGTTATTAAATTAAATAATTAGGTACGCTTAAGAAGGGCTTGATTTATGCTATATAAAAGTTAAGATTAACATTGTTTTTTCCACGTCCTTAATTTCATAATCAGCAGAAATTAAGATATACAGTACAAAAATAAAGACTTGTATAGTAAGCCACAAATGCTTCATTAATTGCTTCCTTCAACGTGTATCACGCGTCTTTAATTTGTTCAATTTAATTAATCCTAAATTTTAATCCCCTAAATCATAGAAAAACAATGAAAGTGAATTTGGCCCTCCACGTCGAATCAATTTGAAAATATTGAAATGCAAGTGAATAAATAACTTTCAAATCAAAAGGAAATAACCAAAACATGTTTATCATGATTAAGTCTTGATTTTCTAATCAAAATAAAGATCTCTTCGGGTGAATATAATTAGAAAATGATTACTTGGTTCAATTTTATTAGAATAGTATCTTTACAAAAGAAATTAATAATTAACCGAATCAAACAAAATCAACATAAAATTAAAATAAATTCACACATAATAAGATTCAAACTTTGAATCTAAAGATTCCGGAACTTTCTTATCGTTGAAATAAGACTTTGTCGGCAATTTTTTCCAAGGATTATTAATGGCTGACTTGTGATAAATTCATATGGAAAATTTGTACCTAGAATAAGGAGGAGAAAAAGATTACAATTGTCCCACTAGGCTAACTTGATCATGTGCAACTTGTTTCATAATATTATCAATGTTGTTTTCATCATTATCAACTAGCCTAAAAAAAACTAATAATATTCTTCATTTTATTTTTTTTAAAATATTTTAATTAATAATGGTTCATAGTTCATGATTTTTACTTTAACAAAAACTATAATTTAAACAAATGATCCATATATAGTGTTATGGGAGTAATTATGTAAGACAAATTCATCATTAGTTTGTAGAATTTTAATAGATTTTGTGTGCAAAATACATTACTAGACAAATTAATTACTTAGGGAACACTCTTGCATTTCCCTCCTCAATACATTTTTTTTTGTTAATTAATTAATTAACTAAATTAAAAAAATGCTAATTAAGTAATTGATGTCTTTATTTTGGTAGAAGATATATTTTTAATTTCTTTTCTGGAATACAGTAAGCATGCAGTTTCCACTTGAGGTACAAAACAAACAAAATAGCACTAATTTCAACAAAAATGTCGACATCATATTAAGTTGGCTTGATTGGGTTTTTCTTTTTTGGTAATAGCAGCAATTATCTAATAATTCCATGTCACTTGGCCAGCTGGGATTAACTCAATTCATCCATATTAGTAGGAATTTTATTTTTGTTTATATGGAGTCTTACAACATATTCAATCATTTATTTTTATTTCAGGTGTAATATATATTAAATAATTTTGCTTAAGTGTGATGAAATTTTTCGGTTCTCTGTTAATGTTAGTCCAATTGTTAACTTCTAAAATTTATATTCCTTTTCAAATTTTCATAAAAGCTCTTTGATTTTAAAAAAGTTGAGAATTTTATAATTATATATAATTTAAGTATTTATTTAGTTTTCAATAGTTTAATTACATGACAAGAAACATTGTATCTTCTCCCTTCTTATAACCCTAATAATAATATGCAAGCTTTAGTCTCAGCTCTTAAGCTAGATAAGCACAATCCATGCAACTTGCAACATAATACAAAAGGTAGGCAAGCCATCTATTCATCACCAAATTATGATAAAAATATGTAATATATTCATTTCTTTGTCAAGATAATTAATTTCTTGAAAATGAACAATAGAAAAAAAAATCCCCAAAAAATAAAAAGGCCCATAAAAGAAAAAGAGGGTTAGTTGAATCAACTTGAATGGTGTCAAGTTGGTTCTATTTTATTACCCACATTCAACTTTAATCATCTCTATCTTCCCCTTTAATTTACTCTATGCAAACTTTTTTTTTTTTTGACATGATTCCCTTTGGTTTGATCTCTTCTTTCTTGTCCTCTTTCTCCCATTTTTTTTTTCTTGCTTTCCCTATTCCAACCAACTCCCACCAACTTGTTCCTTTACTTACTTTGAAAATTTTATCCCAATCTCCTCACCTTGGTGCTCCTATTATAAAGACAATCATCAATTTTCTTTTTTATTTTTATGTTTAATCCAAGTTGTTTTGCAATTAAAATTAAGCCCTAGCTCTAAATTAAGAGTCTTTAAGAGTTTATCTAATAATTTGTCAATAGTTTGATTGTAAGACCAAACTTGTAGGGTTCAAATTGTGTAAATATGACAAATTCCAATGTATATATTAATATAAAATAAAAAACTATTTTGAGGGTTGTCTTCATGATAAATGAAGGTTGAAAGGGTTTAAAAGAGATATTGTATTTCACCCATAATAGAAAGAAAAGAACAAAAAAGGATATGAGAAATATTGGGAAAAGGAAAAAGAGAATAACTAACCTAACCCAAGAAGGGAAAAAATAATTGGTGCAGGTAAGCTAGCATTGAAATAAAGGTATGAAAAATATTACTCTTTCCGTCTCTTTTTCTTTATTTTTTTTAAAATTCTTACGGAGATTAAAATAATAACTTTGACTTTGATGTATTTTATATTAAAGTTTAAATTTTTTTTATAATATAAATGTTCAATACACTTAAATACAAAATAGTAAAACAAAATTCATTTTTGAACATTTCCAAAAAAAAAAAAAGAGAGATTAAGAAGAAAAAAAACTTAGAAGATAGTGTTTGTAGTGTTCAAAATGTTCTCCTAGAAATCCTAATAATCAAATGCTAGTAGCCAAGTTGACTCATGAGGCCTAACATGAAAAAAAAAGTCAAAGTACCTGGTCAAGGAAATGAATCTGGTAGGGTCTTTGATGTGAGTAAGAGTAGAAAAGGTCAAAGTTTTTTTTTTTTTAATTTCCAAGTTGGAATGCTTTTTTAAGGTTGCCAACTTGTCAGTGAGCGTTTGGTTCATGGAACTTTCCACAAGACTAGTCTTTTCCCAAGAACTTAATCCAAAACAACTGTTATATATGTTATTGTATGGCTAATTGTTCATTGTTGATGTCATGACTATTAAGTTAATAGAGAAAGAAGAACAGGGTTTGCAACATTCCTGGTTTCAGGCTCTCCAAACCCCTCTACTCCCACCCATGGTTTTTGACATTTAACAATTCTTAAATCTCTCCCTCTCCCTCTCCCTCTCTTTCTCCCTGATTTGGTGTAAAAGAGATAAAACTTTTCACTGTGGCATGATTTACAGTTAAAACCCTATGTTTGACAAAATGGGGTGAGAATTCTACTTGTGATGCTCATTTATTTCAACCCTGCCGACACCAAAATCTGCTTGTAGGATTTATCAGTGCTAGTAGCTCCCTGCCCCAAAAGTTTTCCAAAGATATAGAAGTTTAGAACAGTTCTGCTAGGATCTAATTCATTAGTGCTTATATGATCGCAGATGATATCCCTATAAGAACATACAACTCTCGTATGCAGCCTCTAGCTGTGGTTTGATAAACATACAAGCATCATATATAATGTTTAAATGAAATCTATGTGATAAAAATAAAAATAAAAATCACTGAACAACCAGGAAGATCATGTCATTTGACAAGTTGAAATTGTTTGCTGTGAAAAGCATAATGATAATGGTCTATCGCTAGAAACATATTATAAAGCAAGCTGAAGAGAGACAATCCAAGTTTGGCCTAGCGGTTACTATCTCTCCTTGACGAGATTCAATGTTCAAGGTTCGAATCCCTCTCTTCCTTCGACTTCCTCTCTACCAAACAACAAAAATGAAGACAAAATATAAAGCTGCAGAACAGGTTTAGTCATAGCACAAGTATAAACCGCATTGCAAGTAAAGGAGATAGAAAATACATGTAATGTCAATGCAAAAGCAACAATATGACATGAATGCAGAATGACCGAAGAGAAAGATCAACAGATTAACCATTTGGCATTTTTTATTTAGTCACATGCTTACCTTATTTATGGGTGGGTTCGTTTCTTAGATGCCCACAGACTTCTATATTAAGGGGCTGAAGTACTGATCTGTAATGGCCACTCCTCACTTTTGTACAATTCAAAGTATGTTCCTAGGAGGAGGATGCAGTTGT